AGAAAGAAAGAAAGAAATGAAGAAACAAACAAGGGAAGTAACAGAGAAATAAAATATGTATAGTCTTGTAAAAAGGTCATGGATCTACCACAAGCGGAGGGAATTAATGATTTTGAACGGATTGTCAGCCATGTTTTATGGGTTGTTAATAGCATAGCCCACCAACTTAAACATTTATAACGTTTAGGTATTAAAATTCTCCCAGATAATGACCTTAAGAGCCTACGGTGTTATTTTATTTGACTGAATTTTCTAATGGACAACATAGGAGCTTTATTTTAAATTGTATCAACGATCAGTGTTTGAGGGCATAAACAAAAAAGATTACTTTTTAAGAGAAGCTGTTCATAATCATCATTTATCTATTTTGACCGTTTAATTAACGTTCTGTGACAATAATCCCACGAAATATGTTAAAAAAAGTTTATAATTAAAAATAAACTTTTAATATTTCCTCAGGTAACACTGTGTAACAAAATTTTGCTCCCTAGGTAGAAACTGTTATTTTCTATTTGCATACACCAAGAAAGTATGAAAAATAGCTTATATTTCAGGATAATCAGCATTATGGATTGGCTTCGCAAAACGAAGATCAGGAGTTAGTCTCTACACGTCGCTTGCAGGAACGTTTGTGACTGATAAGTCCAATGCGTTTCAGGCATACATGGTTAGTAGTTGCAGGTGAAAGTCCGGCCTGGGCTCGATGGCATAGCATTGCAGTACTTTCTCCTCTGTCTCTTGTCCCTGAGAGCGACCCTCTAGGTATTTTCAAAGGAAACAGCATATTTCGTCGTGACACGCCAGGCGTCGCAGTTCTCAGGTTGGGTTGATCATTGGCAATGGTCTATATGACAGGTGCTAAAGGAATTTTTCACGAAATCTTTGAATCATTTCTTTTGTGTCCCTCTGTCGCGATAGCCAGTGAAGAGCTCGCTGTACGATAAAATTTTAGGCGGCGATGATTCTCCATCCTGGAAATATATCCAGCCCAGCGCAGCTTAGACACCAGGATAATAATATTTTTGAAATTAACCTATTTCCATTGGGAAAACTGGCGAATATGAACAGTCTCGTTCACGTAAAGTAGGAACAAAACGACATATATTTCGAAAGCAGCATATATTTATTCAAGGATTACACAAGAGAGGCCACCAAAACTTAAAATTTACGCTTCTTCTGTAAATTTCTTTCACGAAACATTCCCCAAATATAATCTCCCATCACGTTTTCGTTTATACGATTCACGGTAGCTTGAACGTTCTAGTAATTCTTGAAACTTTAGAAACGTCACGAAAGTTCTTGAAACTGCTAGAAAGTTCTAGAAAAGTATCCTTCATCAGCTGAATCTGTCTGGAATGTAATGGAAATTCGGTTGATTTCAATACATGCCGATGCTCCGGTCACAAAAGCAAAGCTCGATGGGAATAAACGTCATTTACTTTGCTTCTAGACAAAAACAATTAGAAAATAACACTTACTGACCAAAGACAAAAAAAAGAACCAAATAATTTTACATAGTGCAATAGAAATGAGGTGCGGTAGATAGCGGCTCGGGTTGAGGAATCGGAGAGTCGAGTTCGAATTCCACACGAATCCATTACATTCAGTTACGTGCTAATACCCTTGGGAAAGGTACAAATCCTCTTCTTCACCCCAGCTCTGAATAAATCGCAGAACAAACCAGCTTCTATAGCCTTGGGTGGCAACTGGTATAGGAGAAGGACAACTCTAAATCCAAAACCAGATTTGGGGGGGGGGGGCTTTGCAGTAGGCTAACAATCTACTAACTTAAAAAAAATAGATTGTTATAGAAACCGCAACGATATCTTGCGACCCTATGTTCCCCAAGGAATTTAAAGGCTTTTTATATATATATATATATATATATATATATATATATATATATATATATATAGTATTTACATTAGTCGGACTATTTTCCTCATGTTTATCGACATATTTGTCTCAAGTTTCAAATTAATTAACGATCCTTCGCAAGGAATTTCCTAACAGCGTTTTCCCCTTGCGAAGGATCATTAATTAATTTGAAACTTTTAAAACCATTTATTTTACATTCAACATCATCACTTGATAAGACACCGGGGGTGTTGAAACAAAATGGCTATTTTGTAGTAATTTTGTAGCATATTTATGTTATAAATTAAAAAAAATAATATATATATATCTGTGTCTATATATATAAGTGATACATTTATTTTCCAAGCGTAGCTTAGATGTGGCACAAGGTAGGAAGTATGGGGCATCTAGTGAGGATCAAACTCACTTTTCAGTTGTAACTGATCTAGAGAGACAAGCGCGCTAACCATTACACCACGCCGAGGCGCCACTTTTTTTCCAAGCGTAGCTTGGATGTGGCACAAGGCCGAAAGTAAGGAGCACACAGTTAGGATTGAACTCACTACTCAACCGTAATTGTTCTAGCGAGACAAGCTTACTTACCATTACACTACCTCGAGGTGCCCAATTGATTTTCTAAGTGAGGCTTAGATATGGCACATGGCCGAAAGTATGGGGAACTCAGTGAGGAACGAACTCACTATTCAGCTGTAACAGTTTTAGCGAGACCAGCTTGCTAAATATTACACCACGCCGAGGCGCCCAAATATATAAGTGATATATATTCAAATTTGTTTTTAACTCTAACCACCTCTACCTCCATTTTGTTGTGAAAATAAATTTATTTTGAATGGATTTTCCAATATACGGTATTATTTTCACCGTCCCTTCTGTTTCAGTTGAGAGTACTTAATGAGCTTATCTGAATGAACGACAGAAAAGGGACAAAAAGGGTTGGTAAAGAGTTAAAATTAGACAAAAGTAGACAATACTTATGGAGACTATATATTCTCATATTCATATTTTGAAAGGATATATTACTTAGAAGAAAATATATATTCTCCATTAAATTAAAAGAATGTATATATTAGGTTGTCCCAAAAGTTCGTAAACACTTGCGAATAATTGAATTGTTATGCAATTTTTAATTGTTTTTTTTTTTTTACTTTATTGTTAATTTTGATAATTTTGAAAAAAAATTATTTCATTAAAATTTTTATTTAATTGTTTTTTGCGTTTATAAGCGATGGGTTCAGAAAGGGCAAGAGACACCGTCGATTCCAAAACAAGATCGATTCGGCAAGAAAGTCATGTGCGTTTGGTGGAACTTTGAAGGAATCGTGCATGTTGAATTGGTTCCGAATGGTCGTGCCATTAGTGCCGAACTTTACTGTCATCAACTGGAGCGGGTCTACGAAAAGTTGAAGCAAAAGTACTCGGCTCTGATCAACCGAAAGCGCGCTTTGATGCAGCTGGACAATGCCAAGCCACACACCGCCAGGAAGACCAAAGACAAGTTTGAAGAGCTGAACGGCGTTGAGGTTCTACCACATCCAGCCTACAGTCCTGACTGTGCTCCATAAGATTACGGCCTTTTGTGCTCAATGCAACACTTTCTGAAGGGCCGCCGATTCGACTCGTTTGATGAAGTCGAGGAAGCGTGTCAAGAATTCTTTGATTCAAAGCCGGCTGAATGGTACTTTCAACAGATCCGAAAGCTTGCAGATCGATGGCAGAAAGTCTTGGAAAATGATAGTCTTTATTTTGAGGAATAATTTTTGTTGTTCTAGTTATTACTTGGCGAGTAAAATTTCAATTTTTTGAAAATGTTTACGAACTTTTGGGACAACTTAATATTACCCATTAAATTAAAAGAAAGTACATATTCCCCATGAAATTTGATTATTTTCTGATGGCAAACTGGGATTATTCGTATATTTGGTTTCCAATATTTCCAACACCGGCGAACCCGGAGACCAACCAAAGACATGGGCTGGATGCAGGTGTCATGAGAGATATCTGGAGGCCGCTATGGCAGAGCTGCAACCTCATACGAGATTACAACGCTTTCTACAACGACACGGCGCAAGACGATCGCATCCCACGTTCATGTCTTTGTGCAACGTGCCCCCTGGATTGCTGACTGGTGTGCACTGGATGAGGAGCTCCACCGGAGGACTTGCCAGCCGAACATTTTCCGCGATATCGCTCAGTGCTGTCTTCACCAGCTCGGTCCCGGTGACCACTTTAACAGAGTCATTTACCAGTTCACCCCGCCATCTGTAAAATGGTGACGATGTTGTGGCAGACCAAGCTAATCTGTCACTGACGGATGTTTCAAAATTTTTTTTTTAAAAATGGGAACAGTAGAAAGGAAAACTGGATGAGAAGGTCAAAATAGGAAAAGATGATAATTTGATATTACAGCTAAAGAGATCAATTAGAAAAGATCCAACTCAGTCCATAAGATGTTTGGCACGTGAAAGAGGATTTGCAGCTATAACAGTCCAAAGAGCAGTGAAAGAAAGCTTGAAAATGAAATCGTACATGAAACCTGTTAGGCAACTTGTTAATCCAGGACAGATATTTAGAAGGTTAGAGGGCGAAGACCGTCGTAAATAAATAGGAGATTATCCTGGAATAATATATATATATATATATATATATATATATATATATATATATATATATATATATATATAGTGTAAACATAAAGTCAACACTTAGAGGCGACAGTCTGTTTCATGCTATATGCAATCGTCAGGCCATATAAACAGACTGTTCACTTTTATATTTTACACACGCTCTATCTCTGATATCGAGCACTTTTATCCCATAAATATAGCACACCTTAAGACTATATTTCTCCATATATATATATATATATATATATATATATATATATATATTAATCAATAATGAACAATAATTAATTATGAACATGTCATTATGAACATCATGTCATTATGTCATTATGAACATTAATTAATTATGAACATGTCATTTTTGTTTATGATCGATTTCATAACGATTCTTATTGCTCAAAGCTGACCCCAATAGTGTTATAAGAACCACGGTGAATTCCAGTAAGATATCTTTAATCATTTCTAAGATACAACGGTTCAATGTTTAATCGAACAAACGGACAAATTTGCTTTTACACGACTTGGACAATTTTGCTGTTACACCCGGTACAACTTTAAAACA